CGCGCGGGCTTCCCCGGGGACGACGCGCCCCCCAGCGACGGCGAGGAAAACTCGGCGCTGCCGGAGACGTTTTACGGTCTGCTGCAGGATCCCTCGCTAGTCTTGAGTCCTGCACCTCCTGCACCGGTGCAGGAAAGAGAATCCCCTGCCCCGCAGCTGCTGGAGGGAGAAGAAGAAATAAAGGAGGAGGAGAGGCAGGAGGAAAGCCTGGGGGAGTGCAAGGCGGAGGAGGAGTATGAAGAGGAGGAGTCGGATGGCGAGGAGGAGGAGGAGAGCGAAGAGTTGGAGGCCGAGGCAGAGGAAGAGGAGGAGGCAGGGACAGAGGATGAAGATGGAGAGGAGGAGGAGGAAGTGAAAGAGGGCGAGTGTGAGGAAGAAGGGAACCAGCAGGAAGAGAAGGCGGTGGAAGATCCAGGGCCGGAGGGAGAGCAGAGAGGCGAGGAAAATCACTTCCCTCTGGAAATGCCTTTGTCATTCTTAGTAGGGGCTGAAGAAGAAGAAGACGAAGAAGGAAAGGACTTTATGAGCTATACTTATTTAAGCCTAGACCAGATGATTCCAGATGTTCCACAAGAAACTCTCTTCATGATACCAGACATGGACCATTAGAATCTTCGAGGGAGTTCAGGAAACGGAGTTGGTCTGAGAGTGAAATGGACTACAGGCTTATTAAAATCTCGTTTAAAGTGAGTTCCGCTAATAAACATGTCCATATGCACCCCTTCTTTGGCCACTATAAAATATTTAAACGGTGTGTTGTGTATGAGTGTGGGCGGGGGCAGAGGAGCTCTCCAATATTATTTTACTGGAAATGATTAAAGATCAAATATTTTATTACTACATCTTGGATATGTTCGTTTGCTATTTCCCCCTCTAGACAACTCGTCTGCTTAATAAGCCTGGGATTAATAGATAGCTGTGGTGTACCTGCAAAGCACGTGATAGCTTGACTGTCTTAACTCCAATCTAAAAACGGAAGCCATTTTAAAAGTGCTTCCAACACTAGATTTCTTTGGTGAAGGTTGTATTTGGTAACCTCACGTGCAGTTTTGTGCGGTGTGTCGCTGACTTATATTCCTTGTGCCACGGCACCTGGATCTTCCTCAGAGGAACGTGAAGTTGCTTCTGTGCAACTGATTCTCTGCCGTGGTCTCAGCAACCCATAGGCCATGAGTGGGGCAAGATGTCCCACGGCCACAGCTCAACTTGCACATCTACTTAAAATCCAAGGTAACTGAAAACGGTGGAACATAGTTTAGGTTTTGAAACGTTGTTCCAGGATATATTCCTCGAGTAATAAGTTCAGGGGGACCATAGAAATAGATTTTAGACAGTAGATTTTTTTTTTAAAAGACCTTCTGGGTGATGGAATACCTTGTTTTTCCCCCCTGGATTTTCTTTTTTCATACAGAAAGTAAAATGTGTAAAGTTTAGCCTGTGTGAGCTAGTTTCCGATGCTAGCTAAACAATTAGCTATGAGGAATAAGTCACTCAAAGCAGATTCTCCTGAAACTATTTTTAAAAAATAAAAACACATTTCTTCCTGGGCATTTAATAAAAGATTCTATCCATAGCATAGTTCCAGAATGTTCCTAGATGAAGAATTTGATCCTGCCTTCTCCAAGACTTCATTTAAAAAAAAAATGTGCTGCTTAGTACCATAATTTAGTGGTTATTAGTTGAAAAGAAGAGTCTATGGTGATATCTTAGCAGGATGTGGATTTTCACTCACATATCCCTATGTATACAGCTTTAAGGTGATAAGTTTAAGATGTTAAAAAAAATAAGGTACGCTATTTCTCATTTGTTATTTAAATACCAGATAATTATGCAGCAGTACTTCCTTGTCTAAGGGGATGAATGGAGAAAAACCTACAATATCATAAGAATCTAAAAATTATACCTAACATCCCAAATTATAGGAGCCTGTAACCAAATGTTTAATTATTCTCTGAAATCATTACTTTTTACAAGATGTAATTTCTTAATGATCAATCAAAGCATTTTAAATTGACTATCCAAGAACCTTTCTATTATTTTAATAATAGAAAGTGTGTGTGTGTAGTGGGAAATGGAAAATTATAATCTTGATATGAGTAATAAATCCTTACAAGTCCTATCCCATAAATACTTAAAATAAGATACCCCAAACAATCAGTCAAGTTAACTCTTTCAATTGGTATTGAATTTTTCATCATCACAGCTGGACAATTCTCATTGCAGTATTCACTAATTCACAAACCTCAGAGCAATGTCCACTATTCAAGGGAAGGATGCAAACATAAGCAGTGCCACGGGTTTTGCATTCTGGTTCATGGACTATTATTCCACACTACTAAATTATTAGGTCCCAAGCAATGTGAACGATGATAAAGATCCAAAATTGAATGAACCTATCCGTACTCCAGTGTTTCATAAATTTTTCAATAAAAATACATTAAATGAAGTGATCAGTTGCTTACTGTGGTTGAAGGAAATGATCCAATATGATATGATGAATCACGGAACAAAGAGTCAGTGGTGAGGATGTGTACCATGTATGAAGAGGCAGTATTGAACCTGCAGGTGAGCAGCTGGGAGGAGCACGCTGGCCTTGAGGGACTGAGGACAGAAGGACCAGAGTTGCTGAAAGAAGCAACCAATGAGAAGGTATGCAGACACCATGTTAGCTGCTAATTCCTGTGCTAGCCATATATTCTAAAATGGGCACCAGTAACAATGAATGAAACAAGAAACCAATAAATCATTGATGATTCTTTACCTAGGATTATTTTTTTATTAGCCAGATATTGTGATGATAACTTTACTGGTCCTGTAGGGTAGTATGAAGTAATTAAGCGACACTGAGAGAAGGAATGGCACCCCATGCTCCATCTACTTCTCAGATGCCACCCCTCTCACTATCCCAAAATGAGGTGGTACCAGAGTTCAGTGCGCAGCATGATTGGAGTAACCTAGTTCTCCGCTTCCACTGGAAACCTTTGCACTGCTCCTTGGGTACAACTTGATGATGACTCACTAGGCTCTAAAGTCTCAACATGGCTCAGAATGTGTCTAAGTTACTTTTCTCTCATTGCTGAAACAAAATCTCCATCACCCAAAGTTAGAGGGGAAGGGGTTTATTTAGCTCACAGTTCCTAGAGGTCTCTGTCTATAATCAGCTGACTCCATGGCAGGGTGGCAAAGTGGCCACAGTTCATGATGGCCTGAATGCAGCAAAGCAGCAAGAGAATGTAACAGTGACTTTGTGCCCCTTTTATACCATTCAGACCACCGGGATTAGGGCAGGGCGAAACCAATCACTCCAGTGTAGTTTAGTAACCACACACCTGTAATCCTAGCATCACAAGTTCTAGATTCATTCACCTCTGAAAAGGGCTACATGAGGCTTTGGGGAGACAACTAGACACAAGCCATAAGAGAATGTATATACTCTTTAGCTTAGACATAATTAGGTACTTGAAGAAAAAGCACAAGTTTCCAGAGAAAGCTCATGATTATTGTTAAATTTGACGTTGGTAGAGTGAACACAGGGATAAAGAGATGTTATTTAGGTACTTGTTTCAAGAAATGAGCTATTGCCAATTATCAGGGGGAAAAATCAAACACTTTTAGAAGTCCTAGGGTCCTTTTCTGCCTATCATGAGGATTTTTTTAAGGTTAGAAAGTCTGGTATTTTTCTCTCCTGACTGGCAGCATTTCTTGATTTATCTTCATTACCCTGTCTCCACAGTAAAAGATTTTTTTTTTCTGTGAAAATAATACCCCTCAGAACATAGTAAATGCACCTGACATTTTCAGATAGGTTTTGAGCTCAGAGTATGATATCATAAAATTTTATAGCATCCATATATAAAGAAGACAGCATTTCACAAATATTTAGTTCCATTAAAATGAACACAAAGCATGAAATAACCAATCTATTGTGAACACCACCAACTGTACACATCTGGGAAATAAATAGTACAAACATTGCCTTGCGGAAAATCACACGGCAAGTGATTGGATTAAAAAAAACTGCTTTAAAAGTAATTTGCATTTTAGAGCACAAAAAAGTAATAGATACAGCTGTGTCATTGTATTGGATGGGTCCATATTAATGAAAGAAATTGAAACTTAAAAAACTTTGGCCTGGATTTTCTGTATATTTAAAACAAAATCAATTTATGGCAGTGTCTTAGCTGTTTTAGTACTAGCACTTTTCTGCATGCAGTTTTAGATAGTTAATGGAACATATTTCAATATCATGGCCAGCTTCATGGAAGGGAAGAAAAGAATTTAGGGATGGGTAGAAAGACCTTGATATGCACTGTCCTGCTGCCAAATTACCTGTGACATTAGGGAGTTAAGTTACCTTGGACCTCTGTTTTCTCAAAGTAGTGATAATACTCCATTATTATTTAGGCCTATTGTGAGGACCAAATTCTGGATGTCTTGATGTCTTAGTTACTTCCTCATTGTTAAGCAAAATATACAACACCCACAAATGTAGCTCAGTTTGCAGATTTCAGTCCATAGTTTCAGTCCAAGGAAGGAGAGGATGACAGAGGGCATTAATGTCCCAGTAATAGGAAAGAGACTGATAGATTAAAAAAAATTAATCATTGTACACTGAACATCATTTTATAATCAAAGTTATCCCATTTAAATTCTGACCAGTCTAAGCTCTTTAGCAAGACCCAGAAAAATCTCATCTCATGGCAATTCTATTGGATTGAAATAACCAGCTATTCTATTTCAGTAATTATCATAAACTAAGCATGAACTAATTTATCTTTGATGTATAGCTTTGCCTAGTTTTTACTAGTCTCAGAAGTCTAGTGCTTTGATATTTAAAATGTAGTCCATGAACCAGTAGAATTTGTAGCACCTGAGAGGGTGTTAGAACTTCCAAAGCTCTGACTCTAATCTACTCCATCAGCTTATGCATTTTAGCTAGATCTCTAAATCACAAGTAAGCACATTTTTAAAGACAAGTCTGTGGTTTGCAGATTAGATCCTTTGCAGAAGCCTAATGAGAGATTAATGACTAAGACTGTAGCATGTGCATTCAAAATTTTACCATATGTGTAACCTAAAGGGTGTTATCAGAATTTTGACTTGTCATTTTCAGTAGCTACTTTATGAGATTAAATGAAATTATGCAAATTAAATGGGCCAATCCTTGCCAAACATTCAGAACAGTGACAATCAATAGTCAATAGTTATGAGAAGTATTCAGAAAATGCACATATGAAACCATTGATATGTGTTGTCCAGAATTTATATATTAATGGCTGGAGAAGTTAGAAATGTGAAATCTCTCAAAATAATTAACAAAATGATTTATCGACCTTTTTTTCTTAAGGATAACGATCATCAGAAATGTTACTTTAGCTGCACATACAAAATTATGAAAACCAAATAAATTTCTAAAGGTGGACACATTTGTCAAAGAACATTTTCTGTCTTTTATTTAACCCCCAACCACTCTTTCCCTCAAGTCCATGGGGTATTATTTACTTCTATGGTGGACATTTAATATTCTAATAGCTAGCTTGAAGAATTACCCATTTTTCTCCATATAAACAAATAGATATTAGAATAAAATTTTGATATCAAAATACAAACATCTGTAACACCTGAGGGAATCATTCCTTATAGTAATTAACAGTTCATTAAGTAATATGAAGGCTAGCATAATGCTTAATATTTCACATATATATGTATCACTAAACATGTCTGTTTAGGGAAATACAAAGTTGGATAAGTTGGTCTAATTATTGCATTATTTATCTCTATCTGTAAAAAAATCAAAGATTTGCATTAGAAAGACAAAAATTTATAGGTAATAAAACTGGATATCATTCACAATGTTACTACTTCATTTCAAATTCTGTTTTATGCTACACATAAAGGTAAGCTCATGATAATAAAGACAGATATATGAAAATGACAAGCTGTATTAAATAATGCATAAGTCATGTACTACATAGAATAGCTAAAATATGAGATTTCAAAAACACATTTAAGACTATATAACATACTCAACACATTAACTTTAAGCATAGTCACTCCGAACTGTTGGTTTAGATATTCTTTTACACGTGAAGTACATAAATTTCAAAGAAAGAAATAGTTTCAGGATCAAGTTTTCAATTTTTAGTTCAAAGCCATCAATACATTGTGTTACTGGAACGTATTTCCTTGTAGCTATACTTAAAACCTATCGTATTTTTTTTGTTTGTTTTTACTTTGGCTTGAGTTCTAAGTCAGGGAGAAAAAAATTCTAGTCTTTGCAAAGTGATAAGAACCTAAGGTAGAAATACTCCGATTGCTCACTGAATTATAATTATTAAGCACACACATACCAATGTTGAGAAGTATCCAAGGCTCAGGTGGAATCAGTCATCCTAGAGTAAGTCAAGAAGAGTTAAAGATGATTTATTTAGAACAATCAAGACACGGAAGACATCTCAGAATGTACTGCTATATGTATACATGGCTACATAGTAGTACTGGATAATTGTTCTATTCCTGGGGGCAGCGTGAGAAGAGAGAGGGGGGAGGGTTTGAGACCAATCTATTCCTGAAACAAACCACATTTAAATATTTCTCTGGCTATGCCTCAAGCGAAGCATACTTTCACTCCAAAAATACATTCACTGAAGATGGGCATAAGAACACAAAATTCAGCTTTTACATGTTAACCATTTAGGAAATTCACTTGTATATAAATCAATACTGCCTCAGAGAATTCCTTCAAAAGAAAATCCATCTATTCAGAAAGGTGCCGAAGAGAAGGGACTGAAAATTGCCTTCTCCAAGTAATGGACAGCTGCAGAATATTTTACAAATGGAGCAAAACTGGCTCCAGCTCCTGTTGCCTTGTGATGTGTGGCCCTCAGTACATTGCACAAGTTGCTAGTGACATTTATTTCTCCACCACAGATGGTGCAGCACGTCAGTGAGTCTATCACAGCACGAGAAACTGATTCCAGTATGTGGAGCATGTGTGCATCTCTAGCTCTGCACCTCCAACAACTAATCTGTTATTATAAAAACTTTGAATATAAATAAATTTAAATCAAAGACTTTATACCTTTCTGTTGCAAAGTCATCAGCTTGACTCTCCTGCCCTTCATTTTATGCAAACAATATCTCAATATTTATTATGTGAAGATCACAGGCAGAATTGTCTTTTTCATGCTAATACAGATGGTCTGATTTCTGACAATATTAAGTTCTGACTTAAAACTCTCTTAAAAAAGGGACCTTTGATCACAAATTCATCCTAGTTTTGCTGGATAGAATAGGAAAAACAAAGTCAGTGTATTTCAAAGAGAGTAAGAACTCAGAGGTGCAAATATTTAAACTCCCATTTGGTGAAATGTCCGTATTTATTTTTTCCACTGCTTGTGTATATCTTGCCTGTTTCTCTATATCACCTTGTGAGGTGACTTGTTTTAAATCAGTTTTTCTTTTCTTTTCTTTTGAAGTCGCTTTTAAAATATGTCCTAAAATTAATTCATATTCCAGACTACAAGCTCACAATCCTCATAGTCCAGAGGCGGTGTCACACTATTAAGTGTGTGCTACAGAAATTTCAAGAAGTGGGTGAAGAAATAAATACAATGTCATACTTAAGAAAACTTAGTAGGAAGAGCTGAAATAAAAATTAATGATAGGGGCCGGTGATTTAGCTCATGGTGAAGAAGCCTGCCTCACAAGCACAAGGTCCCGAGTTCTACCCCTGCTGCAAAACAAAAAACAAAAAAACAAGAAAAAAAAAAAAAACCTAGGGAAGAGCTGAAATAAAAATTAATGATAGGGGCTGGTGATTTAGCTCATGGTGAAGAAGCCTGCCTCACAAGCATAAGGTCCCGAGTTCTATCCCTGCTGCAAAAAAAACAAAAAAAAACAAGAAAAAAAAACCTCCAAAAATTTAATGATAACTGCTTATTCTTTTACTTTTAAGTTTATATTCAAATTCTATTGGTGATGTTTTCAAAATCTCAATTATTACTTTAAGTAATTGTGCAAAACCAAAGTGTAGAAATATAGATTTCTCCTTAAAAATTCTTGGGTTGATATTGCTTGGCATTTTCAGATGTTATTTAAGGTATTAAAGTTGTATTTTCTGTTATCTTCATATGTATTTGAAATCTTAATTATTGATAATTCTGTTATCATGTATTAGTCAAGTATTTGCTCCTATGAATATATTTCTATTTTTAGAATGTCACTTCTGACTTGTTCTAGTAACTAAAGACTATTAACTGATACTGATTTTCTATTTCTTACAGAATCCATGAACACACATTTCACATGACAGGGCCATTAAGTAGTACTAACAAAAACATCACTTAACGCTAGTTTTCACTTTTTGGTAATTTTTCATTGATTGTAAAATTTCCTTTAGCTGAGAAACTGTAATATAAAACAGCAAGTTGAGGTCAAGACCAAGTGGCATGTAATAATAGAAAAAAAGGCTAAGTGACTTTATATGTTCCCTCCTCCGTTCTTGTGGATTTTCCAAGGCCATGCTCATCTTTTGAGAAGTAAAAAAGACTTCAATTTTTAAAAATGTTTTCCACCTTTTTCTGAACACGTGTTTCTTTTCTTCCATTTACTCTTCAATTTTTTGTTTAACTCAGCTTTTAGGTTGTATAACTATTAGTGTATAGGCGCCACCTAGTGGCAACACCTTTTTAAAGGAACCAGTGATCGCCAAGCTCCTACTATATTTAAAGAGGCATGCTGCAGGGGCAAAGGGAAAAAAAACAAAAATAAAGGTGCATGTTTGGAGGACACGTAATATAGTTATAACATATAAAAAGTATTGTGATGATGTTGGCACAAAGCACTGTAGTAAGAAATTTATAATATTTATTTGAATATTGGTAGATTTTTTTAATATCCAAGACTAAACCATAATATAAACTATGAGATTTAAAGAGAAAAAAGCATAGGCCTGCAAAAGCCCTTTGGTATCTGCTCATTATTTTTTCAAGTCTATCAATATTTTTCTGATATTTATTTCTTATTATTCCCCATTTGAGTTTATTGGTACATTTAAAGCAAACAATACAGTTACATTTATCATTGGGATCTTGCTCATTATTATTTTTATAGATCATAATTTATACTGCTAATAATATTTTGTATAAATAATTCCCATAATATATTTTGAGGTCCTCTTGACATTAAGAGCACTAATTAACATTTATAATCTACAATGACAACACATTTATTTTGCTTATTAAAGGTGCTAATAGTCAGTTAATAAATTTGTGATTTATATTCTTAAATTTTAAATCCAAATTACTAAACCAAATAATGCTTAATACTTTTATCCTGAGATATGAAGACGAAAGTATGCATTCACTGGCCTTTTGTAAAAGCAAGACAGACATGTCATTGTTACCTCCTGAGACATGAGTATCATTTAATTTATTAATGGTCACAGCCAGTAATTAGAGAAACAACTTATTAGGGAAGGAAACAAATCTGCTTGTCTGCTGGTATGGCATCAGAGGATAATTAATATTTCTATTACTGTCCTATTTCTGGCTCTTTCCAGCTACTTAGCCACTACCATGAAAGCATAAATCAGAATTTAAATCTAATTTATGCCTTAGCCTGAGCTGAAATTTTTGCATTTACAACTTTCTCAGTAATATGCTTCAAAATTGTGCTTTTAGAAGGACTTTTACCACTTCACCTTATTAATACTTTTACTACCATTTAAAAATTATAGTTAGTTTTCTGTGATTTTCTTTTGTCTCGAGGAAAAGAACGAGTCCTCTATTTCTTCTGTGGATTCATGTTTATAAGAAGCTATTCATAATTTTAATAGTATAAATAAGGATAAAAATTAGTCTGTGAATTGAATGATGATTAGAAGGTATCTGTAAGAAAGAAACACAGTGACTTACTCCCATGTGACCAAAACCACTTTCATAGGGAAGACTACATAAGGGGCCAGCCAGTCTCACGCACTCCAACTGCGTTACACTCTGTACAGCCAGCAGGTCCTTATGGATAAGATCTTTATCCTTATGGATAGACAAATCTTTGCAGGAATTGGATACTCTTTAAAGTAGCAAATAGCCCCTTGGCGCCACAATGTAAAAAAGCAGAGAAAGCTTTGCCTTGAGGAAAGTATCAGGAATTACAAAGTGGCCAAGAGTCGAAATAGAAATTGTGTTTTAGACTTCAGAATTTGGCTAGGAATACTACTAAATAAAGTGGCATATACTCTATATCACAAAGGTAACCCTCAGAGCCTGTGATAAATAGGTAAAAGTGAATTTTGCTTTTGAAATACTTGAAAGACTTCCATGTTTCAAAATACCTTTTTTTCTGTTCTGTAATATGTTCTTCTATCTCAAAGATTGTGCCCTGAGCCTTGCTACTCTTTAAGTTCTTTTTAAATACAGACAAATCAACTGTTGTAGTTACATTTATTGACAGAGATGGAAATCAATGTCCAATTAATACATTAGCAGGGATAAGCTTGTCCAGTTTGCCAAAGATGATGACAGCGATAAAGAGGGCCTGTGTGAAATGAACCCAAATGAAATGTGAGACAGGCTGAGAAGCAGCGGCACAGAGAGAGCTGGTGGGCGGAGTCTGGTTGGCCTGGACAACATGCACCGGGGCACGCCACTCAGAATGTGCGACAACCCCGGAGGCCGAGAGGTTTGCAGAATATTAGGTTTTCATTAACTCTAGGCTTGTATCTTTATACCTTTCTTGCACACTGAAGGAGTCTGGTTGGCCTGGACAACATGCACCCCACCCGGGCATGCCACTCAGAATGTGCGGCAACCCCGGAGGCCGAGAAGTTTGCAGAATATTAGGTTTTCATTAACTCTAGGCTTGTATCTTTATACCTTTCTTGCACACTGAAGATAATCTGCAGTTTTGAAAGTTAGCATAATTGAAGAGTGTTATGTGTAATTGAAATAAGTGTGACAGATGACAAACAAATGTTGCGTTTATTTACCCAGCTACATAAATCCATCTTAGTTCATCTAAGATTTTTCTCTATTCCATAACCAATTACTGATTCCTAAAATTGTGTGCATATGTAACACACACACACATATGAAGAGAGATCTTTATGCACACACATATAAAATTTATCATGACAAAAACTCTAACCTTTGGTGTACCATTATGTTTTGATTATCTATGGAAGTGATTTGGTTAAAAATCTCAAAAGAGATGCTAAAAATATTTTGTATTTCTATGCCCTTATAAATATTAATCATGCCTTTTACAGTAGATTCACTCCTTGGTTATAATGTTTTCTAGTGAGAAGGTAGTACATTCCATAAACATGCTTTTAATGGAACTATGGATCTATTTACGCATTCATTGTGTTTCTTACCCCTACTAAATTTTC